CTAAGAACAATAAGAATAAGATACAGATGATTATGGGGAGGATGGAGAAGATGACGAATATGAAGAAGAATGAACGAACGAATGAACGAACAAATTTTTTTTTCAAAGGGTTACAAATTGGGCACGCAGGCTCGTCTGACATTCGTCAGGCCCTACTAAGCACTCATCTTTCAGAAGATGAAGAAGAAGAAGGGCTAATAGGAAAATGAAGACGACTAAGAACAAGACGAAGGAGAGTAAGAGGAGAACGAATACTGAGAAGATAATAAAGGAGGAGACGACTAATAACTAGATGGTAAAAAAAACACACAAAAAACAATGAGACCGAAGAAGAAGAAGAAGGAGAAGAAGGAGAAGAAGAAGAAGAAGAAGAAGAAGAAGAAGAAGAAGAAGAAGAAGATAGCAACAGCATGTATTGCTCTGCTGTCGGTATTGGGAAATAGTCCAGACTGTTACAGTGCACTCAAGTGGCGTTAACACAACACAGCTGGTACCCAGTGTTGCCACTTTTCTTTGACAGAAAACATCTAGATCCGGATGTAAAACATCCAAAGTGGCAACATAGATGGGAACACAGCACCTACTGATGACAAAATTAAAGTTAGATGTGTGGATTTTCACATAGAGGTTCCCAGAGAAAAGCCGGTGCTTCCTCAAGTGTGTCCCCACACATTCCCAATCTTGTAGGTGCCAGCTGATTAATAATCAAACACGTATGCGTGCCTGTGTGGTGTGCGCGTTGTGTGGGAGCGTGCAAGGGATGGGGTTTGACAAAGCAAAGGATATATGAAATGTAAACCACTGTTCTGCAACCTGTGGGCCGCGGGTTAGTCCAAATGGGCCGCCAAACAATTCAGCGTAACTGGTAACGGGGCAGGGAAGGTGGGTTTTCTGTTCCAGTCTGTAGAATTAGCACTTCGCCGACTTCCTGTTTTGTGGGAAAACACTTTCTCGGGTATGTCAATAATTAAAATCAAACATAAATCAAATGGATGTTAATGTAACGCTTAGTCAGTCTGAAACAACGCTGCAGCCAAAAATTTTTTTACCTCCAAGCAGCAGATGTCGCATTGGCTGAAAAATATAACAGTGTGACATCGGATTGAACAAATGAACTGCTGTCTACTTTTATTTCTGTGTTGTCTGTTTAGCTGTTAGCTGGCCGCGAAACAGTTTCTCCTGTTTTGGTGGGTTCTTCTTCTTCTTCTTCTTCTTCTGCCTTTCTATCCCCCAATGGAGCATAGGCCCTCAACCAACTCACGCCAAGTCGTTCTATCCTTCGCCATTGCATGGAGCTCTCCCCATGTCCTCCCAATCTTTCTAACCTCGTTCTCCAGCTCTCTTCTCCATGTGTTTTTTAGCCTTCCTTTATTCCTATGCCCCTGTGGGTTCCAATGCAAAGACATTCTAGTTATGCTGTTCTCCTGTTTTCTCAGTGTGTGCCCTATCCAACGCCAGCGTCTTTTCCTCACTTCCTGATCCACTGGAGCCTGTTTAGTTCTCTCCCAAAGTTCTACATTAGTTATTCTATCATACCATTTTATTCCCTCTATTCTGCGCAGGCACCCAGTTTAATGAATGTCTGTAATTTATTAGTAATTGCCTTGGTTGTTCTCCATGTTTCCGCCCCATACAATAGTACTGATTTGACATTAGAATTAAAAATTTTTAGTTTAGTATTTCTTTTAATTTCTTTTGACTCTCCACAAATTCCCTAGTGCTATGAAAGCCCCTCTTGCCTTTTGTATTCTTATTTTAATATCTCTATCAGTTCCTCCATCTTTATCTACATTACTGCCTAAATAGGTGTACGACTCCACGTCTTGGAGTGGGGTGCCATTAAGAGAAACCACATTACTATTTGCCTGATTTATTCTCATTATCTTTGTCTTTCCTTTATGGATTTTCAGACCAAGCTGCTTTGATCTCGCATTAAGTATATTTAATTTATCTTGCATCTGATTCCGTGAATGGGACAGAAGAGCAATATCATCAGCGAAGTCCAGATCATCAAGCTGTTTTGTAGGGGTCCACTGAATTCCATTCTTGGTGTTAGCAGTTACTGTTTTCATAGTCCAGTCTATAGCCAGTAAAAATAAGAGAGGCGACAAAAGACATCCCTGTCGCACACCTGTTTTTATTTCAAATGCATCTGTTAGCTTTCCCTCATGAAGAACTCGACATTTCATGTCTTTATATGTTGCCTTTACTAAGCTGATAATTTTCTGTGGGATTCCATAGTTTTGGTGGGTTGCGGGTGTGAAAATGTTTGAGAAATACTGGTGTAAACCTAATGAACACAACACCCAGTATGGCTAAGGAGCTCAAAGAAAGAACAGGAATCGTGCACACCTATCACAACTGCATGTTAACTTTCGTCTTACACCGTGAAGAGCAGTGGCTGTCAACAGTCCCAATGCCGCGACCCTCTAATACAGCTCCCTCTTGTTGAGGCGACCCTCCCTCGAACAATTATTTGTCTTCAAGAAATATGTTTTTCCGATGGTCTTAGACGACCCACGTGAAAGGGTCGCGACCGGCAGGTTGAGAACCGCTGGTGTAAAGTGTCTGGCCATGTGATGATTGTATCTATTCAGTTTTGTGATGTTAATCGATAACAAATTTGTTAGAAACTTTTGGATGTATATGTGCACGTCTTTTCTTTTCCTTCATTGAATACCCGAGTAATAATTTGACCTGTGTTGATCTAATTTTCGTTATCTACTCGCTGCAGCCCTCCGCCCAACTCCCCACAGTTTCTGCACCATTTAATGATGTAATCATGCCAGCCTCGTTTTAGTGTATGTAGGTCAAGGTGAATACGAATCCCTCATCTCTCTCTCTACTTCCTTGAATCTCTCTCTCCTTCCCCCTCTCTTTTTCTCTCTCTCCCTCCCTCTCCCTCTCCCTTTCTTCACTTCCTTCCACCCTCCATTTGCTCCTACAGTATCTCACCACAGTGATGACAAGAATAGAAGTATCTACAGGAGGATACATTTCCTTGTTGCCACACACACAAAGGTTATTGGCATCTTTACGTGCGTGCTATCTGTTGTTCAGCTAGCTGTTGATATATCAATAGATAGGCCGGCTATCTCGGCTGCTGTTGTGTTTACGTTTCTGTTCAGGTGAATGGCCTTTAAAATCCTGAAGATATTCTGCTTTAAGTTATTGCATCCATCATCATCATCATCATCATTTGACAGGTCCTTTGTAGAACGTCTGTCTCGCATCATGTTCTACCGGAGAGAAATTCTATCTCTCGCCAGCTCTCCCGCACAGTAAGTACACTTTCTTCCCAAGCTGTCACTTTTATATTGTACCCATCTTCGTGCTGGTCTGCCCCTGCCTGTCTTTCCTGGCGCCATGCCTTCTGCTATTTTATCTTTCCAGTCCTCTGTGCCGCTTGATATGGGGGGGGGGGGGCCGGGGGAGGAATACATAGGCGAACTTTTAATCAGGTTGCAGCTGATACTATTAGCATGACGACTCTTTTTTGGCGATTGAGGAAAGAGACGGAGCACTGGTGGGAGTGTCCCGAGTGCAGTGATGTCAGTTCTTAATATGATACGCGCATGCCTGTGTTTTTAATCCTGCTCACAGAACTGGAGGCCAGAAGCACGACAGCCTACGTCTAATCGGCGCGGTACACGATAGTTATGATTAAATCACTTTTGATTTGTGGCTTAGGGGTTGTGCGAGCAGTCTCACAGTTCTGAGATGAGTTTAGAGTCTTTCAAAAGGTTATAGATTTTTTGTTTGTTCCGTCAGAGGCAACAATAAAAGCCTCACCTGCCCATCTCGTCTCGTCTAAATCCCCAGGCTCAAGTAATCCCCGTGCTTCAGCGCCCTGAAAAGTGGTAATTGTAGGCCGTGAAGGGGAAGCAGCCCTGGTGTAGCGGCTAGACGTTTGCCCTCGGACCCGAAGGTCGTAGGTTCAAATCTGCATCAATTGTATTTATATGAAACTGATTACACGTGCATGTTACACACGCGGCGAGGGGAAACTGCGGATTCACACTTGCTCCTTCCCAGGGCAGATTCTATATGGCAGCATATTTTTTTGCAATTGCTGCCTATATTGAAAGGTGTGGGGGTCTTGCTGTGTACTCGGGGGAGGGGGGTGTTCTTGTCACAACCTCAAAGAGGGAGGGCGTGGGGGGAGGGGGGAGCGGGTCCCTGCGGTAAATTGAACGGGAGCGTGTTGCTATATACTCAAGTGGGCGGTGAGGTCTTGCAGTATGCAGTATGTTGGAGGAGGGCGTGGGGGTCTTGCTATATATATATATATTTTTTTTTTTTTCAAAAAAAAAAAAGGGGGGGGGGGAGGTTTGCGCAGGTCTTGTCATATTACGCAAGGGGGCGTGGGAGTCTTGTAATATAATGAAAGAGGGCGTGGGGATATTGTTATATACTTGGGGGGGGGGGGGGGGGGGGGGGGGGGGGGGAGGGGGACGGGGGGGGGGGGGGGGGGGGGGGGGGGGGGGGGGGGGGGAGGGGGGGGGGTAAAAAAGGTTGGAGACCATTGGGCTAAGGAATGGTCTACCTTGCCATAACGTTTTCAGGTAACACATCCTCTTACTAGGACAAGACTAGTCTCCTGCTTCAATGTGCTGCCCCGCCCGAAGCAGTTGGTACAGCGTGGAAGGTCAAGTTAGTTCCTTCTTCTTCTTCTTCTTCTCTTCCACCTTGTACCTCAGCGAAGTGTCGGGGGGAGATGTAATGTTCGTTGATGGGCTCTGTCAAGAGCACTATTAAGACTCATGTTCATTTCTGTAAGGCTGTTCTTAATGCCATCACTCCATATTTTCCGAGGTCTTCCACTCGCTCTATACCCGTTGTAAGGTTTTAGTGTGGCTCGCTGTGGCGGATAGTACCAGGGCATTCTTGTTGGGTGTCCAAAAGTGACTAAGTTAGTTCCTACCAGTAATCAATATCATCGTCTAATTGAAACAGATGACGCCTTTCATTAATTGTCTTTATTTTGTTTTTCTTTTCAGAAATGCTGGGATCGATTTAGTGGAAGTAAGTGGTCGTTTGTTTGTGTTTTATGTGTGTTAATCCGAAAGTCTGCTGTTCATTTATATGTTAGTATGACATTCTGCTAGTTACTCCTGTTTCAGTGTTTTGTATTTGCTGATTTAATAATCTGCTACTGATCTTCTACCATTCCCATTACACTATATGCTTGCATAGTTTGTTTATAATAATCACTTGTGTGTTTGTAATGTCTGTTAAAGTGATAATCCACAAAGGAGCTTTGGACTTCCTTGCGAGAGAGCCGGGTTGCATTCTCAGTAAGGAAGTGAGATTTTTTTTTTCAGTCAGTCAGAACAGACACGCCTGTACAGCTATTTGGGATCATCCGTGGTTACGGAACATGTGTGCCGCATGCAGCTGTAGGGTGAACAAATCTAAATCCAAACAAAAAAGTAGAACCAGTCTCTATCACAAAAACGAACGGCAAGTGAGCGTTGCGGCTAGAGAGCCTTCATCAGCGCATTACATAAATATATATTACCACAAGTACGAAAAATAATATACAACTTTTCACCATGCTTTTGGACTTATTGAGCATTAAGGACCAGACATATATTGTATAGGCCAAACAACCATCGTTGTGTAATGTGGTAAACACCACGCCGGTGGCCTTTATTCCCCAGGTCTTTTACCTGGTACCAATTTAAAGCTGGGTCGACATGGGAGCCGAGGTGATTTTTTTTTAATCACAAAAAACAAAACAAAAAAACCCCCGTCTGATTTTGTCTGGACTTGAACTTTAACCTTCAGATCCGAAGGCAAGCGTACGAAAATAATACGAAAAACATACCACACAGAACACTTTTTGTGTGTTTTTCGTATCCAGAAGCCATGAGTTGTCAGCCCTTAGGCTCGGTATTATGGATATCGCAACTCTTCGGCCTTGATTCCATGATGAATACCGTAAATCTGGGAGAAATGTGGCTTTTCTGCCTACCCCTGGGCGTGAACCCGGACCACAAGGAGTTCGTCACCCGGTCACCGCGCAATCCGGTTTAGCTAACTACGCTAGCGAGCCGGGCCACAGACCAGTTAGACGGGCACAAACAGATATTAGCATTGACCGGGGGGGGGGGGGGTATCACACGAGACTAAAATTGGCTACCAGTCCTATGGTTTTACGCCCCGACGAAGATAACTTTCGTAGGATTACCTTGCCTGATTGTCATCGCTATGATTACCTAGCTGACGTCACCTGATATTTACGTTGGGCTAAAGTGTGTGAGCTGAGTAATTGCCCCTTCTTTCCTTCGGTGTGGAGTTCTGTATCTGCGTTCTCCTACGCGAATGACATGTTGTGTTGTGGTTTACAGCTAGGCTGTGATGAATGTGCCTTTCTGTCCAACACGCCTGAGTTCTGCAAATCGTCAGTTAGTCTCCTTTTATAAAGCGCTTTTTAAGGAGCGACTTACCGATCCATTGCTTGGTACCCAGTTTAGGCTGGATCGACTAAGAGACAAGTACATTTGGAGAGAGAAAAAAATCCGCAGGTTTGAACCAAAGACCTTTAAACAGGCAGGAGAGCAGGTCTTGCCACTACGCTAATACGATATCCTTGTGGTAAAAATAAGTTTAAAAAATAAAAACGCCCACATTCCCTATGATCGCCAACAAGACCAGTAGGCAAATCGCTTGATATAAACACCACACAGTGTAACGCTTTGTTGTGGGGGGGGGGGGGAAATCACACATACACGCACGCACATACACACGCACGCGCGCACATACACGTTAGTTGTATGTCCTTTACAGGACGTTGCAGAACAAACCATAGTGTGTGTTTTTTTGGGGTGGGGGGAGGGGGGGGGGGCTGTGATTTCACCGGGCATTGCCATTTCTTTCTGCACGGGCTGGTCTCGATACCACTGGTGAAACCAAAGCAATGTGGTCTGCTGCCAAATCACCCGTAGCCGCGATCAACCCGGCACCACAGAATGACGAAGCATGCTCTGTGGAGGCTCGACATAGCGAATCTCCAACACATTATGTTTGCTTGTTTAGACAACGGATCAACGTCATGGCACAAGGATGGGAACCCATAAGTGCTCCTTTCTTTTTCTAACTCAAACCTGAGTCCGAAGAATCCCAGCGAGCTCCGTAGCACCGGCGAGGTTCCTGAAATACTTTGGGTAAATTTTCAACTCCAACTTTTTGCCCGGGCAGCGCCGTTAGGCTACTTTTTTCGATTTCAAACTGCCAAGGGATTTTCTACGTGCGCAACAATACACACGGGCGTCTAATCTTACTGCTCAGAGTCCAGGGGAAATTACTAGAAGTCCACGTGAACACATCCTAGCCTTCACCGGGGCTTGAAACCTCCAGCATTCGAGGCGGTCGCCTCAACCCCCTATCTCTCTCTTGAGTTACTGTTCGTCCATCTTTTAGTGTTGTCCCCCCCCCTCCCCCCCCCTCTCACCTACGATGTCTCTTGCCTCCAACTTTCCCCTCCTGTGTTATTTAAAAAAGAGTGTAATGTTAATGCGTCCGAAGTATTCTACTTGCCTCTTTCAGTAACTCTCTTTTCATCCCCATTCTCGTTGGACCCATATAGCTACTAAAATACCGCGATGTTTATTGATTGCACGTCAGTATAGAAGCCGTTGCAGATGACAGCTGTGTGTGGCAGCAGTGTGGAGCAGGTCTTCCCTGTCCGATGAGGAACAGGATGTGTGCCATTCGCCCAGACAAGGCCGTAGAGAAGACAAAAGAACATGCTAACAGCGTCATTAATAGAATAGATGATAAACGGCTAATTCGTTATTCGCCCGTTATCTATGTTATCTTCAGCTGATTCAATCAATACGCATGATCTTTTGACCCATTCTATGCATGACGGATCCAATCCTGCTTAAATAGAAGAGATCCGCTGTGTGAACCGAAATGTAAGCATGGCTGTCAATATGAGAAATTAGTTGAACATCTGTTGCTACATTGGCAAAGATTAGTCGACCCGCGACACAAACCATTCTTTGTCTGTATTTAAGTAATGCCAAATCTATATGGGTGTTCTGTGGGGTCGTCTCAGTATCTTAAGGTTTAATCTCAGCTTTCCCAACCTCCCCCCCCCTCTCTCTCCTACACACACACACATGATCTAAAGCTAATAACATCGCAGATTAGTTAACTAGTTCGTCTTTCCTAAGTCGGCTCTGTGGCTGAGTCGATGCGAACGCTTCGTAATGCCGGGATGCCGGGTTCGATCGCAGTTGCGAGCCATGCACCTTGCGTTGGTTTCGACAGTGGTATCAAGAAAGCAGACCGTCCAGAAAGCAATGGCAAACAACTGGAAGTAAATTTGTCTAGAAAAACCATACAACAGCCAGGGGCTGTTGGGGTTGGCTCTGCAACGTCAAGTATTGGATACGCAACTAACCTAACCGTCTTTCCTATTGAGCTCAGGGCGGCGCATAGGGCAGAGGTCACAGCTCTCCGCGTCTGGTGGTTAGTTGCTACCTATTTTAGATCTAGGATGTTCGTTAGGTCCATGGTTGAGCCTTCTCCGATGATGGTTCTACGCAGAGCCTCTCTTGATCTTTGTCCCTAATATCGCAGATACTGGATGTTAATTGTTAAACCTTCACATAATTTTGGCCAGACTTTAGCATCTGATGGTTCGTGGACCCCAGGAATTCGCGCCAATTGATGCCATCATCATCATCATCATCGTCAATCATCAGGTCCTTTACAGAATGTCGCGTTCGTCACGTCACGCATGAAAGTCTCTCTTTATCCGGACAGTTCTCCTGCTTTCATAGCCAGTGCATCTTCGGTGTCCGATATGTCACAAGACGACTTTGTCACGTGATTTCATCAGGGTCTCCCCTAATAATACACGGCACTCTGAAGTGATTTATCGTTGAGATGGTGGCCCCTATTAGTCTAGGCGGTCTCCCCAGCTCCAACAATTTTCCAACACCACTTCAGGGATAAGGCAACACAAGTCCTTGGCAGAGATGGATCCGCTTCTCTCCTCAGTCTGTATGGAGAAATTCACCAAACACAGGTTTGAACATGCTGTTAGGTCAGTTTGAACATGCTGTTATGTCAGTTCTTGAATAACTTGATCATTAGATATATATCTGCCTAACTATTTAATTACTGATTGTCATATAGTGTTTTAGGGATAGATTCCCGTTACATTACACAGTCAAAGAACAGCGTTCCAATATATATCTATGTTCAGGCTTGGCTGGTGGCACTGGATAATGATGGATTTGCATCAGCTGACATCTGGCAAGTGTGACACCAGAAGTCTGTCACCTCTTCAAGTATTGCCCTAGAGACTGGTCTACAGCACCCGCATGTGTCTGGGTGCTGGTAGATGCTAGTTGGTATCTTGTAGCTGACTGCTGATGGGTAATGGGTGGCTGATGGCTGCACCCAGTTGTATCTATTGGACTATGATTCTGACACAGCTCCCAGAGAGGTCAGTTCACCTCCTACGAACACAGTGGAAACACGGGTAAACAAACCAGTAAACACTTTACCCAATGTACCCTTAACCCACATTATACGTCAATCAGTTTTAATTGCCCGGATTACAGTGCTTGGCCTTCAAAGACCTGACTAATCTGTATTTATAAGGATCACCTAGCCAGCAAGGATAGTTAAGAATTACTTTGCTCTGCCACATACCTCACTGGTAACCGCACTAAACTGCCCCCGCCAACCATAAAAGTAAGATTGTTCGGTTTCTTTCATTATAGATTGCCTATACTCATATAAACACACAATGAACATCGGAATATTCAAGCAGGGAGAACATAAAAGACGACACACAACAAGCCACTCCACACCATCGATGTCATTGTAGTACAAAATTACAATGCTCAACCACCCAGGGTTGCCAGAAAAAAAAACTTCATTTTGTGCCAAACCCTGACCCAAAATATACCAGAAAAATGCCAGATAAATTGTAACATTTTACTCACTTCACATTAAAAGCTCTAGATTAAATTCTTCACTGTCATCCTCACTGGAACCTC